ACCTGCGTCAATATGAACTTTTAGAGATAAAATAAGCCAAACAATCTCTTTCGTATTTACTTAGATTAGAACTACAGGTTAGTCGGTTTAGTATTTTACATTTTAATTGAACTTTCCTCTATATAATACCATAGACCACAGAGAATACGCAGCACTTTTATGATTTTTAATTAATCTTCATATTTATTTGTTAACTGAGGTTAAACTTAAACTATTGGTATTTAGAGCCAAGTGTTGTGATTGGTTTTTATATCGATTAAGATCAGCGATAAAAATGCACGCAGGAATGCAAAGTGTTTGGTGAAATTTACTGTCTTGTATTAATCTGTCTAAAATACACTCGATCTTGATTTTAAACAATTTTATTTTTAATTCACTTTCGATCTCTCGATCTTTTATCACGCTTTTGATCTCGAATTTCTAACTCAACAAAACTTTCGGGTAAAAACAAAATTACGCGATAAAAAATGAAGATCTTGTGTATTTACCCCCGAAAAATTAATTTCATTTGCTATGACGAAAATTATTGTTGATATTGTAAAGAGTATTCCAAACATCGGGCCCTCCATCGGGAACCATAAATTATTATATAGTCACCGGCGATAAGGAACGAAAGCGGATATGACGCGTTTTTTCCGGGAAATGCGATGTGCCGACTTCGCAGGCATTCGGGAATTTTCGATAACGTTCCGGAATTTTTCTAGAAAGTGTTCGCTTGTTACATAAGCAAATTGTAGCATGTTTAATGGAAGTTCATGATACAAATGACTGATAAAAAATAAATAACTGTGCGCACTGAGAGGTCCCATCCTGTATATACAACCTACGATGATGTACACATTGTTTGAAAGCGGGCAACCGCGCGACTTTTTAGAAGGGAAAAGCTGTCTGCGCCATCTGGAGAGCACCAAACGCTGGTTACGTTTGGCATCTTATTAGTAATGGCGGTCACTAAAGGATCGCTACGTAAATGTTGTTATTTATACATAGTATAATTGATTTGTGTTTTGTATGCAACGTTTTATGTTTTTTTTTTACAATTTTTCATCTTTCTTTTTGCAATTGACTTGATTTAACTTCAATGTAGAATCATGTATTATTGTTTGAAATCGCACTCATTTTTGGTGTAATGTTTGGTAAATTTTTATTTATGTTTTGATTACATGGTCTGGTCTGAAATTTCCTGAAAGTAAGCATGAAAATGAATGTTTCAGGACGATTGGGGGGGGGGGGGGGGAGTTATTACGTGTTGTTGTTCTGTAAATGCCTCGATTCAAGAGACAATTGTTACGAACGAAATCTGACTTTTAATTTTGTATAAAGTTTTGTATAAAAGAGCGCGTTTCTTCTTTCTTTGCGTGCACTTTTTGTGGAACGTAGGTAGGTATACGGATTACGGCAGGGCTTGATTTTATGCCGTTACCAAATTTCGAGTTGCTAGACTTCTACAGTTTTCAATATATTTAGTTCGTTCTTTTTAAATTCGGTAGCTTATAGCTCTGGCACCTGAGCCAAGAAAAATCTCTACGATTATTGTTCGTATGCGCAGGCTGCGAATTATCAACTTTCTTATTTACGAGTTCCTAGCGAGTTTTTAATTTTGCGGTGTCTGTCCGTCCGTTAGCACAAGATTGTAGATCGGAGTTCGTGAATTGGCAATGTAGACCACACAATAAAGTAGGCCCTTTTGAGTTATGAACCGAATTGCATGAAATTCAATATGCTTATAGCTTTAACCATAGAAAACGCAATTCCAAAAATTGAGCCTAATCGATCAACATTCACAGTGCCCTTTTCGCATCTCGACCATTTATAAACCGAATTGCAAACTTTTTTATTTATGAAGGTATTTAATAGTTATTTATGCAATGAGTGTATAAATGAGGCGTTTTATTGGTGAGTGTTTAGTCCACGAGCGCAGCGAGTGGACTAAATTCGAACGAACCAATAATCGCCGATTTATACATGAATTGCATACAACGTTTTTTCGTCGACTTCACTGGGGTAGATAATTACTACTACAAGAAATTACAAACGAAATTATGTATGAGCTCCGACGATTTTTCACTAAATTACAGCTATTGTCGTTGCTATAGTAATGTGTTGTTTTATGCTGTACCGTCAGTCCTCGTAATCGCAGTGGAAGATTGTGTTGCTTGCTCTGCTGCGGAGACGATTCATTATATCCACTCAAATCAAAAGAAACTTATTAGAACGGTTTCGATCAGTTCGGCAATTGATGGAATCCAATGAATTTGTAAGGAGATATTTCCGAAAATGTCACGTTGACATTTTACCTTGAAAAGGTATGTGAAATTAGAATGTAATTAATTCTTTTGCAACTGTACTAAAGTACGTGTATTAACAGTGAAAGATATGGAAATGTTCATCCCTGTGGTCGACGTACTCAATGTTGAAGGTAAAGTAACTGAATACCTTAACAATACCTTATCCGAGGAGCTACACATACATACATCAGGATATGCTTTGCTGAGATCGTTTGGCGACCATACTGGCTGCTGATCTCACTACATTAAAACCGAGATTAAAATGGTTAGATGGATGGAAGTTCTCAGCTGTTGCCGAAAGTGAATTGTTATATAATTGTCATTTCCCTTTAATAAAATGGTTGTTATGTATAAGTGGTTGCTAACGATTAATGGTTGCTAACGTTAATGGTTGCTAACGTATAATGGTTGGTTGCTAACCATTAATGGTTGCTAACGATTAATAAGCTTCATCATTGTACTCGTCACTAAGGAGTAATTTATATTGTTATCGAGAGGTCGACGAAAAACGAAATTTGATACATAAGCATTGGAATAAAAGCAAATATAACGCCAGTTTCAAAATTTGGTTTTGCGCATGCGCAGTGCCAACTTCCTTATTTATGGAGGCATTCAAATGAAATTTGATACATAGCCACTTGGAATAAAAGCAAATGTAGCGCCATTTTCCAAATTTGGTTTTGTGTAGGATGTGCAGTGCCAACTTTCTTATTTATGGAAGCAATTAAATAAAATATCATATATATACACTTTAAATAAAAGCAAAACTAACATCAGGTTTAAAATTTGGTTTTGCTATACCCAGGAGCTCGTTTGCTATATTTGTTTAATTTATTTATTAATTTATTTTGTTGAAGTTTTAACGACAGATACTTCTAGTCAAGGTAAGCATATCACATATAGTAAAAATCAGATGTGCGCATGCCCAGCCTGAGCAATGGCAACTCTCTTATTTATGAAGATATTTATTTAAAACTTTACCCAAAGATGCTTTTAGTAAAATCAAACTTATCGCATATCGTAAACATCAGCTTAATGTGCGATGCCCAATGTCAATTGTCTTTTTTATAGAGAGCTAGGGCTAGGATTTTAATTACGTTTAAGATCAGCGAAAATGAAAAATAAAAAATGCAATTGTGACTTAAAAATCTCGCAAAATTGACATAAAAATTTAAAAAGATGACATTTTAAATAATAAATAAATTTATTGATGAAACTGAATAAGACCGAAAAATTAACTTAAGCACGGCTCCAAGAAAACATCAAAATCCTAGCCGTAGGGATATCTTTTTGAAATTTAATCATAGGTGCTTCTGTTAAAGGCGAACATATCTAGTGTTGTAAACATTAGAGGTGTGCATGGGCAGGCTATGGAGTAAACACATGTTCTACCCTTCATGGTATTCTAATGAAAGGTCTCATCGAAATAAATTGGTTTGTACAAACTATAACTTTCCCGTGCGATTCTCATTTTCGAGATCAGTGAGCGACGGGGCCTGAGGGAGGGGGTTAAAAATTAATTTTATCTCTCATTGTATTCTAATTAAAGGTCTCAACGAAAGGAACAGTTTTCTACAAACTACTGCCCTTCTTTTTGTCCTCTTATCAAAGTACGGGCAGAGGGGGGGAGTGGAACATGGTACTCTAATGAAAGGTCTCAACGAAAGGAATTAATTTATACTAACCATAGTCTTCCTCCTCGATCCCTTGTCGTGATCGGTTATAATTCCTTATATCTTAAAAGTGAATTGTCAAAGGAAAGTACCTACAAAGGGGGATGTACAGTCTCAACTTTCTTATTTATGGAAGAAATTTCGTAGGGGTGTTTAAAAAAAATGCGCTTTACCTGCACAATTTGTACTTGTTTATTTATGGAGACATTTCTTTGAAATTTTCCATATATGCCTCTAGTAAAGAAAAACTTAGCGCCCTTTTGGGAAGTACTAATCTATTCAATCCGTATGTTTTTTTTTGTGATCCAGTCGAAGAATTCGTATCCTACCATTGTATCCCTACAATGCTACCTACCTTTGAATATACCTACTTAGAATCAAAGATACCTACTACACATCCATGCGTACATATACCTACTGCTAAAATAATAACCCTCAATTCACGTATTGGTCTTGATGGGCAACTGTACCGTTTTGTGTCGAAATACGTTCTTTAGCGTTGAGATTCGCATAGAAGATTTCTATTTTGAACGCTACTGGGCAGACACTATGACAAATTATGGTTCTTGGTACATATATACGCACGTTTAAATTTTAACATGCAAATGCGTCGTGTGTATAAGTTAATAAAAAAAAATTGTTGTTGTTATTGTGAGAAAATATAGTTGCACGTTCACATTTTTTCAGGTGTAGGTAACTGTAACAACTATATGATTGTATACTTAATTCAATGCAACTGTTTAATATACTTATATTCTTTTTCTGGAGATTAGGAAAAATATCATTAAAAACTTAGTTCTTATTGGATAGGTACGTTTGGGGAATTTAATATCTCAATCTCATCCATATAAGTACCTACCTACCTATCAAAAACCCAATTGAGACAAGGTAGCAATGTACCATTTGCTTAGTTGCTTTACCTACTCCCTCAAGCCAATTGGTGCACACTTCCAGTTCCAGATACCTTTATAGCAGGGCATAAAAGCCAAAGTACGTCTTAAGAATATAAAAGTGAACGTTTGATTCTGAGCGGTTTAGGTATAAATATTGCCGCACTTATTTAAATTCGTTGACTCTTTGAAGGCCAGTTAGTTAAAGTGAATACCTTAGTGGATATCAACGCATTTGATTGCGCTCTTCTCGAACAGAAGTGAATCCGTTTTAGATCAAATCTTGTATGTGAACATGTTAGATTCTGTACCGAAAGACAAAACTCAGAAGGTGATTCCAAACGGCTGCACTGACAAAGAGTGGAAAGTTACAGCTTCTGAAGCTGCCAAGAATTGTAAAAACTACATCCGAGACATAGTCGACAATCTAGTCCTAGAACCAAATCCAGAAAAGTCTCTGATTGCACTTTCCATAGGTAATTATTAATATTTTTATCAATTTTATCTTCAAATATTCAGGCTGGCGACATACAAATTAACATCAATTAAAAATTTTGTAACACCAAATAAAAACAGGCAGTTTTTGAATTTTGGTAACAAACAAGAAAGTGCCTCGTGTTGCTACTTGCCATATTTAGCCTTACGGTAGCCTTTCAATTAAGCGCTATGATTGGTTTTAAAAAGTGGGAGTGTGTAAACACCTCTATCTGCACATAACGTAATTATTTGTACAAAAAATTAATTTGGGTACTTACTTAATTATTAATCTAATTTTTATAACTATTTATATCCATGCTAGCTGGAAACGAAGAAGTCGATCACTCTTTTGCATTTTACAATTGACGGAATATTACCTAAGTGTTCATAATCATATTAATATGCAAATCAAGGGGCGCAACAGATTATGTTATAGGTACGCGTTATGTATGTACGTCACAAACCTGTAAACTGACTCGATCAAAATCAAAAATTCCGTAATAAATTTGCTTAACCATGTAAAACAGGTTGGTCGCTAAGTTATCGAATATTTACACATCTATGCATTTTTATAGAAAATATTTGCATTAATTAATTCCTTGATCTTGAATTTAATTTAGTTCTTGTTATATAGGTGATCCAACAGTTTATGGAAATTTGGAACCCCCAAATGAAGTCGTGCAGGCAGTGCTTGAAGCCGTTACCGATGGAAAATATAACGGTTATGGACCTACTGTTGGCACCGATGAATCCCGAAAAGCTGTGGCGAAATACTTGTCGTTCGATGGAGTCGAGTACGACTTCAAAGACGTGATACTATGCAGTGGATGCTCCTCATCTTTGGATCTTTGCATTACAGCCCTGGCGGATTCGAAAAGGGGCCATAACATTGTTATACCAAAACCGGGATTCACTATATACAAGACTTTGGCTGAATCTTTTGGCGTCGAAGTGAGAAACTATAATCTTCTACCAGAATATGACTGGATGATAGACTTGGCTCACCTTGAAGCCCAAATTGATAATAACACAGCTGCGATTGTCGTCAATAATCCTTCTAATCCATGTGGATCCGTATTTACCGAAGAACACTTGAAAGACATCTTAGATATTGCGTACAAGTACAAGGTGCCCATAATCGCTGACGAAATATACGAGCGATTGGTGTTTTCAGAAACGCGATTCGTGTCGATTGCCGCCGTCAACTCACGCGTTCCCGTGTTGGTATGTGGGGGCCTGGCCAAACGGTTTTTAGTTCCTGGTTGGAGATTGGGATGGATTTTGTTTAATGATCCGATCGGTGCATTCGACTCAGAAGTCAGGAAGGGATTGACTTGCCTCAGTCAGAAAACAATTGGCAGTAATAGTCTTGTACAAGGTGCACTGCCTAAAATATTAGAACTCACGCCCCAAAGCTTCTATGACGATTTAAATAACACTCTTTACCAGCACGCGAAATTGGCGTACGACATTTTAGCTAAAATTGATGGACTAACTCCTTATATGCCTGCCGGTACCATGTATATGATGATCAAGATTGAAATTCAATGCTTCCCACAATTCCGAACGGGATTAGAATTGATGCAGAGGTTAATGGAAGAGGAGTCCGTATTTTGTTTACCTGGCGAGGTAAGATAATTATTAGCACTCCTTATTACTGTCATAAGTAGGTATGTACAATACATAGATACCTAGGTATCGGTCTTTCACGACTACGATTGTAAGGAATGTATTAGGTACAATCAAGTCTAGACCTTGCAGAATTAAAAAAAAATTGATTAAAAAATTGTACTTTTATTCTTTTCAGTGCTTTGGAATATCTGGATTCATGCGTATCGTCCTTACAGTACCTTTCGATATGCTGAAAGAAGCCTGTGAGAGAATGAGCGCATTTTGCATACGTCACTACCAACATTACACCCCATATGATTTGGAATCGCAGGCGTATATAGATACTTCGCAGTGACGTATTTGTTTATATAGATTAAGTTTAATTTCGTCGTTATATATAAAACCAGTTTATATATTCAGGTTTTATATATTCAGGATGGAAACTTTTTTGTATATGTAATACATATTTATAAAAACAAGTTTGATTCTGTACGGAAAGAATATATTAGCTTCTGTTAATTTGTTTTGATTTTCGTCATACCTACTTACATATTACCAATGATATTACCTTTATTTCGCTATTTCGTTGCAATGCTCCTGTGGAGCACATAGAACATAGCTGCACTTCTTTACGTGACTGAACCATATATATTATATATATGGACTGAACTAAATTGGAAATGGCTTAACCATCAGCGTCACATAGGTAACAAATGCGTTGTTTGTTATGACAGGTTTCGTTTAATTTAATGTTTGAAATTAATTATTGATAAATGTACCTACATTATAATTCCTACACGTGACTTATATTTTAAAAACAAATAAACAATTGTATGTGTACGAAATCACTGAGCATGCGACTGAAATATGAGCTCTTTTGCTAGCGTAGCGGGTGGACTCCTACATTTTCTTCAAAATTTCAAGGAATTGCACAATTTACACAATCCGTCGGAAGAATTAGATTTTTTATGATTTGCCGACGCGCGCCTTATTTATTGTTTATTGTTACTGTACTGTACTACTTATTCACGACTTCGGCTTGTCGTAAAGTATACCTACTATACCAGTGCCGGATTTAGGGGGGGGGGGCTATGGGACTATTAGCCCCCGGCGGTAAATTTTGAGAGGCGGTACGTCGTCGCTCCCGTCACGTTTTAATTCTAAATGTAGATATTTTTGGGATTCAGTTTCAGAAATAGCATGGTAATAAAACTTCGTCTCTTCACCTATAAGAGCAGTGCCGGGCTCGGGCTGCCGGCGGTAGCAGGTCGCTGGGTCGCACAAAAACCCTAGCAAAAACACGTTTCATGTTTTCGGGAAATCTACACTTTGCTGACAAACGACAAAGGAGCGCTTTATTACCTCATCATAAGTTATCTATCTCTATTTTCCATTGACTATATTGTGTCGAGCACATTTACTTGGTAAACCCTTATTACAAACAATTATTAAGGGGCAGAGCAAAGCGATGTAAGCTTTATAGGGGAGTCGATGGTGTCCGTCTGTCCGTCCGTGAACACGATAACTGCCAAACGAATGAACCGATTCGGTTCAAACTTTGCACAGTTGACCCGCATGCCACGTGTAACAAGCCTATTGAAAATGGGTCAAATCCAATGACCCCGTAGGGTCACGCCTCTCGGTCTCTGGCAAACGCTTGAATCTATTCAGTGCAAACTTTTCACAGTTAACATATATACCACATGTAACAAGCCAATTGAAAATGGGTCAAATCCAATGACCGCGTGTCCGCATAGGGTCACACCGAGGTGCTATGCCGCTTTTTTAGATGCTCATTAGGGGTTTATTTAAATTTGAGTATTGTTTTGTCTCAGCGCCAGCCACCGCCAGCGCCGACTCTGACACGCCGTGTCGTCAATTCCGTTACGTCATTACGCGTTAGCGCAGAAAATNCCCCCCCCCCCCCCACCGAAAACGAAAGAGTCGCGCGGGGAAGTTACAAGTATGTACAAAGCAATTTATTTGAATGATACCTTTAAGTTATGCACGTTTTACTATCAAAAACAGCATCTCAGGAAATAATTCACAAATTCCAGAACCAGGGAAAATTCAGGACACTAATGGATTCGGAAATATTTACCTTGACATGGTTCGATGGCTTGAAGATCATCCTGGAAGCTCTCTTACGGATGGACGGGATTTTTTAGCATCGACAAAATTCTAACTGATCTTCTCGGCGTTGTTCCAAAAAAATACTGCAAAAATTGTGATTAAAATTTGCATTGGAATTGGTGATATATTATAACATTATGGCGAAGCTATATTTAAAAAATAAATCTTTACATGGGTCATAACCAAATTAAACTTTTTAAAGCTGTCATTATACAGAGTGTAGAACAGGTTTATGCATCCAAAGGGATTTAAATACATATTTATTTATTTATATCGAAATATTTTCTCCCCTAATTAATTTAGAGCAAAGTTGTAAAAAGGTTTCTTGTCGCTTGAAAAATTCTGCGTCTGCTCATGCGCTCATTTATTATTTTTAAAATCGGGAAACCGGAAAAAATATATAAATGAGAACTAGTATATGCGTAAAAATGTAATTTTTGTTTTCAATACTTTCAATGGACGAATGATTTATCAGATTTATCACTAACATCACTCGTGCCGTGAAATCATTAAAACAAAAATTAGGTTTACAATTACAATAATTGTAATTGTAAACCTAATTTTTGTTTTAATTTATAACTACCTTAATTTCTCCGATTTACCACAATAAGAAATTGCAAATGGGCACATCAATAGACGCAGAAATTTACAATCGACAAAAACGGTATTTACAACTTCGGTGTAAAATAATTAGGGAAAAAATGTTTCGATATAAAGGAATTACCACCGATATCCCTATGGTGCGTAACCAATTCTACACCCTGTATACTTCCGCATAAACTTTTAATGGGGCTCCTGTATCGAACGCACGTAACCTTATGTCTTCACCTACCTTAAAGTCCTTTAAGTATTAATTATCACTTATCAACCAATGTCAATGACATTACGTTACGTACGCCACAACTTCCCGCCAAAGAACCGAATAATTGGGTACGGTCGGAAATTTACTTCAAAAAGTATCAGTAATTAAAGTAATGCAATCGCAGTAAAGCGGTTATTTATTAAATTTTACTCAAAATACTGAAGATGCTGTAATAATTTTCGACCGCTTGTTTTGCAATTATATGCTTTTGACAACTGATACCTACTTAACCTCAATTATTCTCTATTGTGTATATTGCCTTATATGATGATGAATTTCTAGTATTAACACATTTGATGAATGTGAGTGATTCCACTCGTTTAACGAGAATTGAACATTATGTGGAAAATGTGGTTCATTTATATTCAGATGATCAATTCCAATCACATTTTAGGTAGGTATGGAGTTATATAGTTAGTTCAAACTGTGTGTTACAAGGGTTCTGGGGTTTCAAATCCCAAGTAAGCCTCTGGTACAGCACGGCTGTCTGTGTTTGTATAGTGGGTCGTTGTTAGCCTACTATACAATAAGAATAAGGTCAATTAAAGTATTAAGTCACTAATTGTAATATTTGTAGAATGCAACGAAAAACATTTGACTTTATTTTGTCTTTAATTGGACCAAAAATTAGTGAAAACGTGGTAAAACCTGGACGACCAAGTGTATCCCCAGAAACACAATTGCTGCTTACGTTGTGGATTCTTGGAACACCTGATTCCTATAGGTGGGTCTACAGTTTCTACTTTTATCTACCTATTTTCAATGACCTTTTAATAGATCTGTATCGGATCGTTTTAATGTCGGAAAAGCAACTGCCGTTATCTCCGTAAGAAGAGTAGTAAAAGCGTTGTATGATCATGTACATACATTTATAAAATGGCCAATAGCAGATGAAATGGAAACAAGTATAAGAGTATTTCGAGCTGTAAAAGGCTTTCCAAATGTTATAGGTGCAATTGATGGCACCCATATTAGCATAACTGCTCCTAAGAATAATGCAGAAGCTTATGTGAATCGAAAAGGGTATCATTCAATGCAATTACAGGTAGGTAGTTATTTTCTGCAGGTACATGCTTGTGTAGTTAGCTGTTAGCTTACTACTTTTATTGTAGGCCGTCTGTAACGAAAATGGAATGTTTATTCATTGTTTCACTGGATATCCGGGAGCTGTCCATGATCTGCGAGTATTCCAAAACTCGGATTTACCAGAATTTTTTAGAAATGACACACAATTTCCAGATGATGTACACATTTTGGGAGACGCAGCATATAAGTTGCATAAGCATCTTATGGTACCATTTAAAGACAATGGTCATTTAACAGACATACAAAAAAATTTTAACATGTGTCACTCATCTACAAGAATGGCAATCGAAAGGGCATTTGGACTTCTCAAAGGCAGAATGCGGAGATTGTTAGATACTCTACCAATGACACGAGAAGATCTTATACCAAAGTACATCATAACGTGTTGCATTCTTCACAATATCTGCCTTTTAAAACAAGACCAATTTCAACCATTAGCTGTAGCTATTTCAAATAATGCAAGTGCTGTGGAAATACTGGCAACACGAGAACCGGATGGTGGAGGAAGAGATGTAGCCATAAGAAAACGGGATGTAATCGCTGCTGAATTACCTATGCAAATTGGTGCATGATTTTTACAAATAACGAGGATACGAATGAAAATAAATTTATTATACATTAATAAAAATAATTAGGTATTAGTATCATTACTTTTTCGAAATGTTATCAACAAGTGTGCGTAATAAACTTAATGCTTCTGTACTTTTCTCCATTCTTTCTTTATGATGCTTTTCTTTATCTTCTCGCAACTTGTTTAAAATGTCCACCAATTTTCTATTCTCTACAAAGCGAAATAAAAAATAAAACATTTAAATTTATGAGTTCATACTTTTTGGTGATTGTTTTTTCTTCCCCTCCGTTTTTGGTGAATTTTTGTTCGCTATTGCACATGTTGCTGAGGTAGAAGGTGTAATTGATGTACTGGTAGAGCTACTACTGGCAGCACTATTTACGCTCGCACTACTACTACTGGCTAAAGAAACTGGTACTAACCATGGTTGAGAAGAAAATATTTCATCCATTGCCTAATTATAATACCATAAATATTTATGTGTATCCATACAAAATACTTATTTCCAAATACGGCCAATCTTTTCTATCATTTCCCGATACTTTATTATGGTCCTTGACCTTTTTATATTGCCTTTTCAAAGTTGCAAGTTTTGTCTTACACTGACTGGCAGTGTACGTATAACCATGTTTAGCCATTAATTCGGCAATACTATTCCAAAAAGCTTTTTGTTTCACCTTCCCCTTCACTAATACATCCTGTTTTTCTCCATACAGGTTTAACAACAAAGTTACTCCTTCAAAGGACCAACGGCATAAATCTAAGTACAAATCTTGTTATAAATATTTCACTTATCAGTGTACTTACCATCAGTATCGTATCCGCTTTGTGGCGAAGTTGGTTCTGTGTAACCTTCAGTGGGATTATCGTGCACAGCAGCCTCGACATCAGCAGCTGAATCCGTGTGATCTTCCGTGGCATTATTGTGCATTCCATTAATTACAGCATGTTGCAATAAAGTAGATGCAAATGCCATGTCTACAAGTTAGAGAAATATTAGTAAGTCAAAGTAACATAATTATTGTATATATAATTGATATGAATACATAACAATTGTAGGTAATTATGCATCTTTTTTGGTTTACATACTAACATACCTTGTGTTGCCCTTGCATGATCTTCAACACTCAGCATTAGTTTATATTGTTTTTTGTGTTCGACGTCTACTAAAACTAATTCTCGCGTCTCCATGTCCATATTTCAGAAAAATTCACACTATTTTACTTTCACAAAAATATAACCTCAAAACGTGTTTACATTTACTTCGTTTACACCAGGTATTTTTCAGAAGTAAAGTGAGTAAACTGCAGTAAATCTCGCGCATGCGTGCATTCAAGTAGGATGTTATTTTCAGTAATATAGCAGTAAATTTATAACCGCAGATTTGTGTATTTTTAGTAAATGTAGCACTTGAAGTAAATTTCCGACCGTACCCTTTGTGATCATGATACAAACGCACTGCATCAACATCATATAGGCCAAAATGATAATTAGAAACGAATTCACTTCCTGTCGTAACTTAATCTCCGTTACCATTACGCCTAAAACCATGCAATTAACATTAAAATGTTGAACATACATTTTACTTACTTACGGTTTTTTTGATATTCTGCAAGCCCGCAATGAATTCACTGCAGCACATCATGCCAAACAAGGTAAACATAGTCCCAAATTTAAATGGCGTAGCTCTATGTAATAAAACTATTTCAGGAATAACAATATGGACGCGTCTATCATTATGGCAAGCACTAATGTTATTCGTATTCAATTGATAACGCAATAATTACATAATATTTTGTGAAAAAACCGCCCATCATGTTTAGGGCGAATATTTTTAGTTAGATTTGATTTCGCGCGATCGTGAAATGTGTCAACTGTCACATGACTTATGGGACGCGCTAAGTTTGTTTTAAGCGTCCGATTCGCGTACGACATAGTGGTTAATGCAATAACAAGATATAGAATATGTTTCTTCTTGGTTAGAAAGTAATGGAGAGATGTACAAATTTCTTTGATATGTTTTTTAAAAACCGAGGTACGTTTGTTAAGGATGGCTGTATCTAGGTATTTATATATCTATGGGGAAAAACTACAAGCAGAGCCACCTACCTTTCAAGTCGAAACGATGGACGTTTCGCGGCACTTTTGAATTTGGATGGCAGTCGGCTCGATATGGGTGGCACGAATGGACTCCTACGTTGTGTAATCGGTTCTTTTATGTGTTGGGACGTGAGACATAATCGGGAAGGGAATTAAATAAAAGACAGAATTTTTGTGCGTAAGAAATGACAAGAGCAAATAAATATATTAACGCACACAACAAGACCATACCAGGGAAACCTTCTACGGGACTAAAACCCTAGCATAGGCCACACAAATATATGAAATAAATCACCTACAACAATAAATGCAAGAAAAAATACACATAAATAAAAGATCTCAAATTGTATGATAAAAAACAGATAATCAAATCAAATGCAATTAAACAAGTTCATAAAAACAAAATACACAAGACATCATAAATGCAGTGGAAAACATGATAAATCAATTCAGTAGAAAAACACATCAAAATACCTGTACAATCAATAGAGATAACACAACTCGTAAAGTAATAAATTGCATGTACATAGGAAACATGTAAATGGTGTGGCTCTACTCCAACCTTCCGTTAACATAATTTAATTTAACACGAAAAGTACATGTGAGAATGTCAATAGCAAGTATTCATGTGAAAATCAATTTATCGCTCGAGCAGAACATATTTTAAATAGAGGAAATGTTAATGAGAGGGCCCCCACTCGTATTTCTAAGATGTTAAGAACTACAATCCGCACGAGACGAGTTGGCAACAGATACAGCGAAAGATCGAACTGTATTAGGTACCTACTCCACGGAGACAGAATGACCCACTCGCACACACAAACATCGAAACATCAAATAAAAGAACCCCCCTTCGTATAGCTAACGCACAAGAACTGCAGCGCGCCACGAATCAGAAAGTAACAGATACAGCGAACAATCAAACTGCATTAGGTACTTCCCGCACGGAATAGTTACGAATCAATCGGACAGAGCAACATCGCACTGATAATCAACTCCTCGTGAATACAGAAATAAATACTTAATTAAACAAAACAATGGCATAATCACCTGTACAGTATATCAAACAAATATTATTCATCTAACAGTACTCAAAACAAAGGCATGGAGTAGGTACGCCATGATTCAGATATCGTAGTTTACGCAAAATCAGCAAAATGTAAATAATATCAAATTGTGGCAAGAAATTCAATGATTAAATAGCTAGTACAAGAAAGAATAAAATGGTTACTACCTGTAATTACACCTTCAAAACACCACCACCAAAATAATCAAGAATAAAAGAACCGGGAACGCGTGTGCCTTCCGTCGACCTCATCGCCATCTTCTTCATTCCCCTAGTTTCGTTACGAAAATCCCCTAGTATTCGGCATCTGCGCAAAACGGTCGATTGGTTATATACAGAGCATATCATATTTTTGTTTCAGATGTAAAAGTGTGTTGCCTAACCATAAGGGTGGATTATCACAATCTGTTGATTTTTGTTGTAACTTTCGCTAGTGTCTTTGGCTTGGCGGCATTTGTTTTTTATTAAAGCTTGTTGTTAGCGGAAATATTGCGTTCTGAGTTATATTCATAGAGTTTTAGCTTTGTTCTGGTATTTGTGTTTAAGTTATATTCAGCCACTTTGATAGCGGGTACAATATTTTATGTAGGTAGTCGAACCTTCCACTTTAGGGGCGTAGCATCCACAACCGAGGACCGCCTTGCCCATGAGCGGGGACACATCAGTTAACCGTCGTTATGAGACCAATGTCAATGTCAATGTCAGGGGAGTGAAAGTGAAATTTATAACCACTCAACTTGAATTTATTTTTACAATAATATTGTACACCCTATATATAAAATATTATCAATAAAATTATGTTGGTATCCTTGGATAAATAGTAAAATCAACATATATATAAGAGAAGATATGAAAATCAAGCTATGTAATAGACCTAATGAGTATTAGGTACTCGATTTTCATTTTTAATTTCGTTAAAAACGCAGCGATTTTGATGAAATTTTTATCTGACGATTTTGAGGCGATTTCTCATCGATCTTGAGAAAATGTCACCTGGGAAATTCCCTGAACGGCTGGGGAGCATCTCGGTCGAGGTGTGCGCGGGCGGTTAAAAATTCGCCACTTCTATACGGTTCGGGTAGGGGCGTCACCGTTGGGGTTCAGGGTGGGAGAGGGGGATAGTTGGCTCAACTTTTGGTAAGGTTAAGAAGATTCCTGCGGCATCCGTCCGGGTAGCTACCGTAAGAAGCGAAAAAATTTGGAAAAAAATTCGTAGCTCGAAGAAAGAGACTTAGCATCCGATTCCGAATTTTTTCTGGAGATCGTGAGGGACGTTGGAGGAGCGTTGTTCGTGCGGGTGGTGGGATTTCGCACTAATACCCTAATCAGCCTAACACAGAACAAATAATTATAATATGCGGTCAACTCTAAAATTGGGCGCAAGTCTGTTGAGGCCAAAAAAGAGAGGGATATTAAATAAATAATAAAATTATTACCAGTGATTTTGGAGCCCATGATACGGTATGAAAGCGATAAACAGGAACCGGTATGAAATGAATAACTGGAAAGCGATGAATGGTTTTGTTTTCAGGTTGTGAACAGGTCTGGAAATCAGGTCCTTAGCTCAACAAGTGACAGGAAGAAGTGGGGATCTTTCTTTCATACACAAAAATGATTAGTGATAAGAACGGAAAGTGCGCGCAATTTTTTTATTATTGTTAGATAGTGACATCTAGCGATCGCCAATGTATTTAATTTTAAGGCAGCGTTCACACGATCTATAAAAAAAATCACGTCCACATGTTAGCTTGCATTATCTTTTATAGAATTCGGAAATTTGTGGAAGGGTCCGACGGATTTCCCAGCCGGCCCGGCGCACTCGGATTCAAAAATTAAATCTTCTTGAATTATTTATTGCTGAGTTGTCATCCCAAAAATCCGGGACACATCCCAATCATCTAGACAAATCAGCGCGCCCCCAGCGACACCAAACACTACCAGTAGTGAAATAGGCCAATTCTAAATCAAAGTCACTAAGACGCGAAAAAAAATCACTAGAAAAGTACTTAGGTTTGCTAGGGACCCCGTAATATGTTGTAAATTCTAACTCAAAAAGTCACTGGATGTGAAAAGTCCCTAGAAAAGTTTGAAACTCTGCTAGGTTTGAAATTGTGCTGCGTTGGTTCGTATTTTAGCTAGTGCAGTTCTGAACTAGGGTTTGTCAAAGTTAATGATTATTGATTTCGGGGGACGTGAGTTATAGGTCATTCGATCATTCGGGGGCTTGTTCCAATGAGATAATTGATTAATTGTCGGTTTCGGGGTATGGTCGGGTGGTTGCTGCTCCTTTTTTCACTTCTTGCCTTGGTATCTAGAGAAGTAGCGTCCGTAGGTGCAGCTTTTTGTTTGCACCGTCAGAGTTTTGTTCTTTCCAAACATGAGTGAATGCCATTTTTTCTTCTTCAATTACACACGGTTCACTATAGTAAACAGGTTAAACTTGTAGTGTACTTAACCTCCAGTTTCTATGCTAACTTCACACTAAAAAAACACGGAAATAAAATCAACCCGGCAACGTTTAAAAATGGCCACCCGAATGACTATTCCCTTCCCTCCAAAACTAAACAAGATCCCGCTTAAATTTGAAAAGTGGCACGTGATAAAACATTTAAGGCAAGGCCCCCTTACGTTAGTTGTAAGCAACGCTTTGACCTGAATCACAGTAGGGAAGGAACGTAAAATAAAACACTCAAATTGTGAAAAGTTTGTTTAATAATGATCGCAATTATTATTGATTGTAAAAGCTCGGAAATTTAAGTTCAAAATAAATTACATTGCAAAAATAAACTTTGAAAATGGTAGTTCACCGAATAAAAATAGAAATAGGCTGGGAAAAAAAGAACTTACCAATAAAAAAACCAGCCGTCAAATTAATATCAAATTGTGTTGTAAAATTAATTGTTTGTAATGATGTGAATGCGTAACATCAAATTATAACATCACAAAAGTAGCATGTAGACTTCAAGAGGTAACATAGACGTTAAAAACAAGTTTTGGGAATTATGGGTCAGGTAAGCAAGTACCAAGATTCTAAGAAAGGGTGAAATACACAGGATGTGACTCATCTTTGGTGCAATAAAGTCCTTTTGTTAAAAGCAAGATGGAAAATTACATGGCCTTGTAGGCAAATTTAACTAAAAACAAGATATGTGGAAATTATTGAATCGCCACTCATTTATCGCACATAGATTCTAAACTGAAGAGCTTTGATTAGCGTAATCCCGCTCCTGCAAGATAGGTAACCCGCCCCTGGTTTCGGGTTTCGAGCCTACAGTTGAAAGTCGAAGACAATCACGGAATTAGGTGTCGTAGCTCAATTTTGACTACAGTTTTTACCACCCCCGTGACTGCTTCATTCACGGAGAAAATTGTTAGTTACAAACAACAAGTCAGTACATACATCAAACGAATCGGTAATTTCCACATATTAAAATAAAATGATCAAAACTTATATGAATGTAACTTCAGGGACAAGACCAAGTAATCAACATCAATAAACATAAATTAAGCAAACATTACACCAAAAACGTAAACGATTACAAACAATAGAATAACGGTATTAAACATGTCATTCTGCATTGCGGTTAAACCAAGTAAATTTCAAAAACAAAGATTGAAACACACAAAGAATACAAAATGTGGCATACAAAACACAAATACGATATAAAGAAATGCAAAGATTACTACCTGCATTAAAAAAACACAAAATAACAACAAACATTTATGGAGCGACGCGTTCACGACCGCCATTCAAGACAAGATACCAAAACGTAACCCCCGTTTGTGCTTTCTAGATGCGCAGGTAGCTTTTTCCCACCTAGAAATTGTATGGTTGCCAACTCTAATAAATGTATATATCATCGTAAGTCGTATATACAGTGTGGAACCTCTCAAACTTAAATCAAACAGGAAGTCTGGGAAAAAAAAATTTTAAATTTTATTTTTGGTCCTTAAGTCAGCCAAAGATGCTCTGCCAACCCCAATCCACTATGCATTTATCCATGTCCGAAAGCGGATTCGAACCAGAGACCATTAGTACCGCAGTCGAGCTTCCACGCCACTGCCCCGCACACAGGCCGGCATTTCTTTGGGCTTGAACGATTTTTGAAAAATTTGGTTATGCAAGATGTCAAGAAGAGTCTCATTACTGGGCGCGATTTCCTTAATTTTGTTTGTTCGTTTGTGAGCGAGTATACTTTGTAAATGCGTGTGAAAGCTTAAGGCGCCAAGAAGTCGTGGGATGTAACCCGTTTAGTTCAGATTCAGGAAGAGTTTGTTTACTTTGCATTCGTCATTACCAAGCTTGCTGGGTAGCGTGCTTTGGGAACTTCACTCGAAGTTGAGTTATGTAGGACAAGCAATCTGATTAGGTAGATTGAACTCGTTTTATTGGTGGAAAAGGTCTTGCGCCCCAGAATGGGTGTCAATCGTGGGGAAATTCGCGTCAAGAGCCGTTAGAGCGTCGAACCGCCAACAGTTCTGGGAGTAGTTCAAAGTTTTTTGATGATTCACAACAATTCACACGCTAGGAGAATGAAGAAGGAACTAGGACCCGAGTAAAACGTTTAACGTGCGTTTAACTATTTATTTGGAATTTAAAAAGGCGGCGCAAGTTAGCACCATCTCCTTCGGTTTCTCAGAATGGACCCAATGACCGGCGCCGGCCACTTCAACGAACTGCGCCTTGGGAAACCTCGTCCGCACAGTCTCGTGATCGCTCTTACTAAAAAAATACAAAGTAACCAACGACCGAGCGACCCAAGCACTCACGGCAGAAAATCCGAGTTCCCTCCGGCTATAAACAGAGCGGGTTTGTCGAACAACTTACCGTCGACGTTCGGAAATTTACGAACGTGCTCGAAGAAGTTCGGCACGAGCGCGGCGAGGTTTATACGCCAGCCGTACGTTCCGTCTGGTTTCTTGATTATGTTCGTCATCAGGAAGGCTCGCAGATGCTTGCCCCTAACTCCCTTCTCCGCCAGTTGCCGATCTATGGATCGGCGTACATCGACCTTGTTGAGGTCGCTCGACGGGAACGTCACCTTACGCATCGCCTTTAGAAGGTTACCGATTAGGTCGAATTCGTGAAACTGAGGGTGATTAACTGGCGAAACGTCGACTACTATCAATTTCTCGACTAAAGGTGGCTAGAAGTGGAATTTCAGCAATGGATAAGCTGAGACGATGGTTACGTTTAGTAACGCGAAGTACATGGCGGCCCGTCCTCCCATAGAATGGCCCATGAGCGCAACCTTTTTAATGTGAAGGTGTTTCATCAGATGCTTGACATCTTCGACTAGGTGAAGATAGGTGTGCTCCATAACATGGGGGCTTTCGCCATGGTTTCGGATATCGGTGGTGATTATTTTACGTTGCGGTATCGTTCGTTTTACCAATTTTGTGGCTAAGTACCTCCAATTATCCTTGGTGCCGCACAGACCGTGTAAAATTATGACGGGGGGAGGTGGTGTCGAGACTTGTTGGGTTGCCTCGAACGTTCTGTACGCTACATTGACCGGTTCAACTTTGGTTGTAAAGTGTCTGCAATTATAAACCCATAATTTAATAATCCACGAAGTCGCTTTTAATTTCATTGCAAAATGTCATTTTTAAATAGTGATTGTCAAAATTGCAATTTTGGCATGCAAAACGCCCGGTTGCCATTTTTTTTAAATCTGCTTTTCCTGGGACTAATTACGAAATGGTGGTGGTGGCACCTAATACAGTTCGATCTTTCGCTGTATCTGTTGCCTACTCGTCTCATGCGCAGTTCTTGACATCTTAGCAATACGAGATATTTAGGGAGCCCTCTCATTAACATTCCCTCTATTTAAAATATGTTTTACTTGAGGGATAATCGACTTTCACATGAATACTTGCTATTTGGCATGCTCATATGTACCTTTTTGTGTTAAATTAATTTATTTTAACGGAGGCTAGAGTAGAGCCACGCCATTTTGATGTTTCCTATGGACCGGGTGACCCAATAAGACCGTTCCTCGGCCATATCTCGGGAACCGTTCGTCGTATGACTTAGGGGTAAAAAACTTATTAGGTAAATCGGTTATGAAGAATAGCTGGAAAATATTTTCAAGTTCTAAAAATGATCACCAGAGGGCGTAACTGTCATCTTAAATTTTAAAATTGCATTTTCTTTAAATTTCGCATAATACACTAAACCATCTTTTTTCACATTTTTAAAGAGAACCAGTTTTTATCTATCAATTTCGTAAAAACAAAAACTCAGTTATTTTAAAAACAAAGATGGTGTGGGGCGTTCAATTGTTTTTGCAATAACCTGCTGTAACTTCTTAACCGTTTGACCGATGTAACAGTTTAGTTTATTTATATTCAAATTTCAAAATTACCGCTTGCTACGTTAGGCAGGATATAGGTGAGATGGCGTCACTTGTACGCGTGCTTCTTTCCTCGCGCAGAATCGCGTAATTTTTTCACTTCATTTCCGTTTTAAAGCCAACGAGGTTGTACTTGTAGAGCGTGGCATTGTGAATTCTTCTAAAACCAGTGGGTAATATTTGCCATCATTCACGTAAAATCTCTGGCAATTTTACCTGTTTATTGGCGTTGTCGAGTAGAGTAACTCAGAAGCCGTTTTCTCCGTTGTGAGGCTATATCTGGTGGAAGTTCATCGCCCTACCTACATGTAAGTGAAATGGCGTTGGCTTTCTTTTACGTTATGTTATCTAAAATTCTTTCAGATTCACAACCTCTTGGATAATTTCCATATTTCATTGATTTAAGTATTTTTCATTACCCTCCTGACGATTTCAGGTATGTTATTAAAAATCTCGTTAAGGGAGTGTTACATCTTCATTACTTTTAGGGGGTCCATGTAGTAGACGAATTCTTGTACCGGTCAATCCATGTAGTAGGTCAATCCTTGTACAGACGAATCCTTGTAGGTAAATGAATTTGCATCTTGCGAATATTCCGGAGTACGAACACCTGTTGATTGCCGGCAGCTATCCGGCGTACCACCGAGTAGATAAGCGCTAACACCTAAACGATACCGGGAGCGACCAGCTGATGGTGGAATTTTCGGAAGATACGATCTTTTACACAACCTTTTTGTTATTTGCTTCAATACCATTAATCTAGTGTAACCTTCCGACGATTTATGATCGGAGCTTTGTATTTTGTTCGCATCAAGTGTTTGAGGTCGTGACTCTCTTCAAGAGCAACGCACCTGTATTTAACGTATGGGTAAACGAGCCGGCTACGAGTAAGCTATTTTTGGCCCTTCCGGCTCATATAATCGTTCCGAGCGTTGTAGCTTGGGGTTTGTTTTTGTGTTACAGAACTGGAACTTCGAAGGAGAGCTCTTTTTCGGAGAAGACAGCGTATGTGTTATTCAAGGTAAGATTTTTAATTTACTTGTACCCAGTGTTGCCTATATGAGTTGTTATTCGGGTTAACTTAATTCAATCTTTGAATCCATTGAAATCTTAACTACATTTTTGCTCGATCATTGTTGTAGGGGTCTGGTAACGTAATCATTAAGGAAGTGTTCATGAATTTATTTGGGGATTGTTTTTGTCATTTAAAGTATTTGTTATTGTCGTATTGAAGATACATTTTATTTGCCGATCCTGCACCGTTTTGCCAGGATTAATAAATCAGAATTGCTCGTAGTGAATTTATTATTTGGCTCTCTTGTGTTTTCCCAATTTCTATACAGGAGAGGTCAGAATTTGTGCAAAATTGGGTGGCGCTCAACTAATCATTTCTAGTGACTACCAAAGATCAAAAACTTATGTTATATGCCCGAACGAACAAACCGCTGTGGAAGATTCTCATCTCGAGCCCTTCTTTTAATTAAGAATCTGAGCTAGCTGGCCGTTTATGCGGCGGGGTTTGAGTTTTACAGCGCCGAACTAACCTCACGTTATACCGATTGTAACAAATTTGGTATCGTTGAAAAGAGTATTCATTGGGAAACAAGAATCGACCAAAATATAGTTAATTTAGTTGAATCCTTCTCCGCCAGGGGGTTAGTTTGGACACTATGATCCAAAATCCTAAAAAAATTAAAAAAATCATAGGGAATGATATGACTTTTTCTTTATGTAAAAGTAGCCAAATAACACCCAAAGAGGCAAGTGAAAACCGTTTTTTGCACTCCTTCGTTCTAAATCGCGGTTTCCCAATAAAACACGAACGTCGGGAACGTCAATTTTACAATTGACGTTAATTGACGAAATTATCTATTTAGTGCCGATCATAAACTAAGAAGTAGTACGATGGAAGAGTAAAAAAGAAAAAATAAATACACTTTACATCATTCCCTGTAGTACAGGGGCAAAAATAAGCTTAAACCAGAAGTTTTGAACAATAAATTGACATTTTAAATTTCTAGATTTCTACTTTATCGGCATAGAGGACTTGATTTTTTCAAAAGAATTATAATGTCGCAAAAATCTCGCGAAAAGGATTTGAATTTATATAAATTCGATTTAACTAATCCGTGCAAAAAATAGAATACATGTTACGTGCGTGAACAGTATTTGCTTGATTCGCGCGACATGCGTCGCTCGTGCGCGTTGCGCACTCGCGCCGCCAAACTTCGCGCTCATCTGCAAAATAACTGTTCCCGCACTAATAATGTAAATAACTATTTCAAAATCTCGTTCCTAACCTCAAATATTGGGAAAATGAAATTAATTAATAAAAATGCTTAAATATACGGTATTTCCGATATTTGTCGATGGCGCGAAAGATTGTTTGGAAAAGCACCCTACACTTTTAGGTAGGCCTTGGAAAATTAAATTTGTAATCTTTTCTAAAATGCCGAATTCTAACCAAGAAGCATTTAATATGCTGACGGCGATGGTTCGTGGTCGATTCGGATAAGGCAAATAGAAGATGTGGTCAGCAATGGTCGCATTTTGAAAATACTCAAAATATATCGCCAGCATATTAAATGCTTCTTGGATAGAAATCGGCATTTTAGAAAAGATTACAAATTCAAAAAACTGCACTTTCTGAATGTAAAAACAGCAGAGTAATTTACAAATTACTGCTGTTATTATTTTATAATGCATCGTGTTTCATTTGTTTAATTTTACCACAAACACGTAAAAAGTAAATTTATGATACAATTTAAGCAATTTTATTAATTAATTATTTAATCTTATTTTCCCAATATTTGAGGTTAGGTACGAGATTCAAAAAACGGTGTTCACTGGCCTCTTTGGATGTTATTTGGCTACTTTTTCATAAGGAAAAGAAAGAAAAAAAGTAGTGATGTGGATTGTAAAATAACGATTTGTAAGTTACATAAAAAACGGTTATATTACGCGTAACTTACAAGAGGTCGGTTTTTTTATGTAATTTATGTCTTTTATGAAACTTACGTAACTTACGTTTTTTATTTAAAAAACCGTAATTTTTGTAAGTTACATAAATGTAATACCTATTTGATACATTTTGATCGGTACTACCACAGACCATCAACGGTACTACCAACGTAAACGATTCACCGTTGAATTTAGTTAGGTTTAATGAAGATGATACAGCCTCTAATTCGCGATCTGGAACTTCTTCCTCCAAACGACGCGTGATGGCGAAATACCTACTGCTTGGGTATTTTATTTAATTCACCAAAATATATAATTTAACAAGTGTTTTTATTTTCAAACACTCACAAAATTCAAAAAGGTTTATAGAAGAGTAAAAAAAAACATAAAAAACATAAATGACATGTAATTTTACAAAAATATTTGTAAATTACATAAAAAACATAAATTACTGGCAATTTCACTGTAAAATTACGCTTTTTTAAAAAAAATGGTAAGTTACATAAATTACATAAATTACATAAAAAACATAAACAATTGGTAATTTTACACGTAATATTACGCACTTTAAAAAAAACGTGTAGGTAATTTAACATCACTAGGAAAAAGTCATACCATTCCATTTGATTTTTTTTAGGATTTTGGGTCATAGTGTCAAAACTAGCCCCCTGGCGGAGAAGAATTCAACTAAATTAACTATATTTTTATTCTCATTGCCCAAGGAATGCTTTTTTCAACGATACCAAATTTGTTAAAATCGGTCAAACGGTTAAGACGTTACAGCAGGTTATTGCAAAAACAATTGAACGCCCCGCGCCATCTTTGTTTTTGAAATAACTGAGTTTTTGTTTTTACGAAATTAATAGATAAACTGGTTCTCTTTAAAAATGTGAAAAAAATTTCTTTTTCTACAACTGTCAAAAAAACCTGTCATTTTCTGACGGATTTCGAAACGCGAAGTACTAGATTTTTAAACGGTTAATTAATAAGTAAGGTTGCTATTGACAACGTGCGTGAAATCGTCAACAGTAAAAAAAAGTATTTCGCGCACGTGACAGAGTTGAACTTAAATAGCAAATTTAATTAACAATCGGTTCAGTTGTAGAAAAAATATTGTATATAACGCTAGCGCGAAGTTATTTCGCCTCGTCAAAATACCTTCAGTCTCAATGCGCGAAATTGAACTACGCGCTCTTGTTATATAAATAACTATTGTTTATTATGCGAAATTGAAAGAAAATGCAATTTTAAAATTTAAGATCCCACTGTTGGTCATTTATAGAACTTGGAAATAATTTCAAGCGATTCTTCATTCCCGATTTACCCAATAATTTTTTTTACCCCTAAGTCATATTACGAACGGTTCTCGAGATATTGCCGAGGAACAGTCTTATTGGGTCACCCGGTACATGCAATTTATAATTTTACGGGTGGTTTTATTTAAATTGATCGTACATGTATTTTAATGTGTTTTTGTACTACATTAATTTATCATGTTTTCCACTTGCATTTATGATGGGTCGTGTGTTTTGTTTTTGTGAATTTGTTTAATTGCATTTGATTCGATTACCTGATTTGTATCATACAATTTGAGATGTTACATTTATGTGTATTTTCTCTATATGTGCTATAGGTGATTTATTTCATGTATTTGTGTGGGCTATGCCGGTTTTTGTCCTCTAGAAGGTTTTCCTGGTGCAGCCTTGTGTGTGCGTGATAGATTTATTCGTTCTTGTTATTTCTTACGCATAAAAGTTCTGTAGGCCAGTAAATGACCGTTTTGCCGTGTAATTTTTCGCGCCTCGACGGATTTGCTTCAAAATTTGGATTTAGGTTCCTCTTACCCTCTACTTCAAAGGTGAACTTGAGCCCAGGGTTGCTTTTACTTGGGGGGTGAATGCCACCCCTTCTCGGGGAGGAAAAAAGATACGTTCAAAATAAGTCCGGAAATTGATAAAAAAATGTTGAAGTCTTTTTTTTCCAAATAACTATTAGTGTATTAGTTTAGTTTACTACAGTGGGCAATTTTTCACTAACTAAACTAATACACTAATAGTTATTTGGAAAAAAAATGACAATTTTTCAAAATTTCAAAATTTTTTTTTACTTCAAAACTATATTTTTTCAAAAATAAGCACTTTGCACCGGTCAAACTTACAGATCATATAAACAATACATAAATAAAGTAAACTGTAAAGCGGTAACGCTTAATTACAATTGGGGTGCTAATTAGGGGGTGATTTCCTCAATTATTTTTACCAAAAAAAAAGGACCAACTTTATTTTGAGCGTAACTCACTTAGTTTTGATGCTAGGAACTTTTCTTAAAACAAAAAGAAAGGTTTTTTCAAACACTTTAAAAAAGTATTCATAACTTTTCCCCGAAAAGTGCTTCATTTTTTGGTTATTTCACGTTGAAGTACTCGATTTGGAATTTGACGAATATGAACCTACTTTTCATGAGCTACAACTTTGCTTCTACTGGGTCTACAGACTTCATACCATTTTGTTTGTCTGTTTATAAGCTATATTTTTGCTAAGAATACTTTTTTCGATACAATACTTACTTTTAGAGTTATTTGCGAAAAACCGTCTGAAAACGTACTTTTTTTTGTTGAAAAATGAACATTTTCACTCGCAATTAACTCGAATACTATTGACTTAGTGAAAAAACTCTATAGAACAAAAGTTGCTTAGAATTACTCAATTTATCAATTTCCGGACTTATTTTGAACGTATCTTTTTTCCCCCCCGAGAAGGGGTGGCATTCACCCCCCAAGTAAAAGCAACCCTGGGCTCAAGTTCACCTTTGAAGTAGAGGGTAAGAGGAACCTAAATCCAAATTTTCATGCGATTCGGTGGAGACGCGGAAAATTACACAGTATCGCCGTATTGCACGTTCATTTACTGGCCTATACTGTCTTTTATTTAATTCCCTTCCCGATTATGTCTCACGTCCCAACACGTACAATAACCGATTACACAACGTAAGAGTTCATTCGTGCCGACTGATATACACATTCAAAAGTGCCGGGAATTGTCCATCGTTTCGATTTAAAAGGTAGGTGGCTCTGCTCGTTGTTTGCCATCGGTAAGTACAGGGTAAGTCAACATTTTCAGTGCCGGCTTGAGAGACTCCTAGGATCATTACAAACGTAAAAGAACATACAGACGGTGAGGTCAAGGTCGTGAACGGTGTCGGTGGCGTGAAGGGGCTCGTTTTAAATATCGTACACGCAGACAAACTTACCGAAAAAATCACGATTGATGTGTAGCCGTTCAACGGATTTCTTGGGCGATAAACTTAGCCGCTGCTGCCCGTTGACTGCCGCTGGCCGTGCCCATTACGCTATTAGCGTTAACGCTATTTTGACATATGAGCATATGTACTTTTAATTTGAAATAACGTTGACTGTAATTGGAACGGCATCGATAACCAAAATCGCTTGCCGCCCAACGTAGTCTGTGGTACGTATCCTCATCCTTGTTTGGCCCGTTGTTTGTATAATCATCCTTGTCTCGCGCATTGTTTTGTAAAACGCATAAACACCACATGAATGAAGCACGATATACATACCTCTATCCATATCTCTTGTCACGGCGTCCTTGCATCATTTGTTTATGGGCGATGCCATTCCAGTCTAGTTCAGTGTTCAAGAATTGCTCAGTTTAAGAGAAAGTGGTTGGCAACAACGTTTATGTATGAATTTATTGAAAAGTGACAACACTGTATATAATTAAAATGTAGTCGGGCATGTCTTGTCTATTGAGTGGGACATGTAATTTTCAAGTTCTGATGGCATCTATGACATCGTTTGTAATATAATTGTTTATTCATATCTTTGTTTATATATTTAGAATAAACAATAATAATATGTAGTGTTTTCCATGGTTTGTATTAATAAAGTATTTTGCCAGTGTTAAGTGAGAAGATAAGGGGGTAACTCATTCAACAAATGTTGTTACTCAGGTTAAGTAGGTAATGTTTCTAGTTGCCCTAGGCTCTCGTTCTGTATTGTTTAATGCCAAAACAGATTTTTAACATTTCTTTATAACAATATTGTTGTTAGATATGGATGAAAACGATGACACACTACTCGTTAAAATCGAACCAAAACAAGAAGAAGAAATCCATTCCTTTCTTCAGGAACACATTTCAGTGAGCAATGAAGTTTTGGTGACGATAAAGGATGAAGTTACCAATAGTACACAGTGTTCTAAATCTCCTGATGAAAATGTACAGCAACAATCTGACTTCCAATGTCACCTTTTAACTCGGTATGAAACAGTATCTAATGATTTTAAATGTGCTGCTTGTGATTTTGAGACTAATTATAAAAGTAGCTTCAATAGACATCTTTTAAAACATAAAGTTTCGAGGGATCTTAAATGTGCTACTTGTGATTATAGAACAAATTTTAAAGACCTCTTGAAACAACATCTTTTAAAACATAAGGTTTCTAAGGACTTTAAATGTGCTACTTGTGATTATGTGACAAACAATAAATATCACTTCAAACTACATCTTTTAATACATAAAGATTCTAAGGATTTTAAATGTGCCGATTGTGATTATGGGACAAATTATAAATCCGATCTTAGACAACACCTTTTAATACATGAAGTTTCTAAGGATTTTAAATGTGCTCATTGTGATTATCGGACTAAAGCTTCCAAGGATTTTAAGTGTGTTACTTGTGGTTATGAGACAAATTATGCACAGCTCTTCAAACGACATCTTTTAACACATAAAGTGTCTCAGGATTTCAAATGTGCTGATTGTGATTATGGAACAAATGTTAAATGCTACTTCAAGCAGCACCTTTTAAAACATAAAAGAGTAAGTTTTTAAATGTGGTAATTGTGTTGTGAGTGTGAGATAAAATAGATTTGGCCCTGAGTTGCAACTTTTGGGACACATTAGGCGCATCTTCAAATCATAGGAGATGATTTCATAGATACTTAAAATTGTTCCGTTACAAATAAGTAAATTTCACAAAATGCAAATTACAAAAATAAAAATAGTTTATTTATTTATTTTTGAGTGGGTGTGGTGCTTTACCAACCCATCGCACTATACATTTACAAATATCATTCATGAACGATAAAATAATCAGTTTGCAAAACTTTCAAATGTTCACCCAAGCTTAAAAACTCGCATACCTTATCAACCACTTTTAGCTCCTAGAGAACACCAAAAACTCTAAGTTTGTAAAATTGTTCAAATCCCCCCTCTCCCCCATTTTTCCCGTGTGCTCCACCACTCTGAGTGAAGCCTTATTTCAATCTGGCCATCCTAGTACTGTATTAAATTCAATTAGAATCCCACCATGTTGCCATCTACATGCGAACCCCGTAACTTACGTTTACCTTTCGACGTAAATATGGTGTGAAACATCTCTACAGACGAAGAATCACTTCAAACTTCTTAAAGAGTTAACTTTGTAATGACGCGTGCAGGACAGTAGCGATCAAATTCCTAGGGATTTGATTCCATCAAAAGATTAAGATCCTGTTATTTTTATCACGGAGTGTGAGATAAGATAAGTCATGTGGCCGGCCGATTGGAGAGATGCGACCGTCTCATATGACGAATAAAGTAAGCGCGCTAGCGTTACCTGCGTTGATTTCGCGCAATTGCTCTTTAGCAATACAGATTTTAGTACGCGATGGGTCCTGTAATTGAGAGCTCATTTAATATATAGAGATGACAGTTATTACTTATTTACAAAGGGGGTAAAAAAGATATGTCATAAAGACAATTAGAGAGTAACTCTCCGAGCTCTTGATCAGGAATCATATCACAAATTCAAATTTTAATGAACTGATCCTCAATACATATGCTTTAAAGTTTGGTTGCATAATCAGAGTGACCACATTATAAATCTTTAGTAGTCTTGTGCGTTAACAAATGTTTTTTTAAATAGAATTTGTTATTCGTTGCATAAACACAATGAGAGCATTTTAAATCCTTGACTGTCTTGTGTGTTAACAGATGTAAGTTAAGATGAGTTTTAATGTTGGTTGCATAATCACACTGGGCACATTTAAAATCCTTCGATGTCCTGTGTGTTAAGAGATGTTTCTTAAAATTAGGTTTGGTACTCGTTGCATAATCGCAGTGTGCACATTTTAAATCCTTGGAAGGCTTGTGGATTAACAGATGTGCTTTAAAATTGTATTTGTGATTGGTTGCATAATCACAAATACGGCACTTGAAATCCTTGATCGTCTTGTGTGTCAACAGATGCATTTTTAAGCTGCGTTTCATATTAGTTGCATAATCACAGTGTGCACATTTTAATTCTTTGGAAGACTTGTGGGTTAACAGATGTAATTTAAAATCGAATTTCCTATTAGTTGCATAATCGCAATGAGAGCATTTGAAATCCTTATCAGTCCTATGTGCTAACAAATGGTTTTTTAAAACGGATCTGTTATTGGTTGCATAATTACACCGTGCACATTTTAAATCCTTAACAGTTTTGTGTGTTAACAAATGCTCTTTATAGTGTGATTTATAATGAGATGCATAATCACACTGTGCACATTTAAAATCCTTGACAGTCTTGTGTAATAACAGATGACTTTTAAAATTGCATTTGTTATAGGTTGCATAATCACACTGTGCGCATTTGAAATCCTTGACACTCCTGTGCTTTATTAGATGATTTTTAAAATTGAGTTTGTTATGGGTCGCATAATCACACTTTGCACATTTAAAATCCTTGATAGTCCTGTGTCTTAACAGATGTGTTTTAAAATTGCATTTGTTATTAGTTGCATAAATACATTGTGCACATTTAAAAACCTTAGAAGCCTTGTGTGTTAACAGATGTCTCTTAATATTGGTTTTGGTATTCGTTGCATAATCACAGTATGCACATTTTAAATCCTTTGCAAGTTGGTGTGTTAACAGATGTTTTCTAAAGTACGAGTTAATGTTGGTTGCATAATCACACTGCGCACATTTTAAATTCTTGTCAGTCGTGTGTCTTAAGAGATGATTTTTAAAACTTAATTTGTAATGGGTGGCATAATCACACTCCGCACATTTAAAGTCCTTGGCAGTTTTGTGTATTAAGAGATGTCTTCTGAAGTGTGATTTATTAATGGTTGCATAATCACACTGTGCACATTTGGCGGTTTTGTGCGTTAAAAGGTGTCTTTCAAAATGGAATTTGTTATTTGTTGCATAGTCACAATGAAAACACTTGATATCCTTGTGTGTTCGTAAATGTATTCTCAAATTAACTTTATAATGGCTTGCAAAATCACACTGAGCACAATTAAAATTTGTTAGTGGCAAATCTTTATGTTTAATCGCTAATTCATTTTCTTGCTGATCCTTATTTTCAACTTTCCAATTACACCCGACATTATAATAGCCCGCATGAATCGTACTTTCATTTACTTCATGTTTGATTCGTTCGTGAACGTCATTGCTAAGTATAACTTTGTCATCTACAGATGCAATTACTTCTTCTTCTTGCTTGATTTCAACTTTTACAATCGCCGACATTATTACACCAGAAGCAGATACAATGGTGAACAGGTCCTTCAGGAACTAACCAAAAAGAATCGATATTCGGCAGAAGACGTTTCCCAAGAGAGCGCCTTTGGTTATTTCACTTCTCCTCGAACACTTGCAAAGTAATGAAATTCTTTATTAAAACAAACCATGAAGATCACACTACACAAATGATATGGACGCCATCTTAAGTTCATCCACCCGAACTTATCTACACGTTCTACAGTGTTGTCACTTTTCTATACGATCATACAAACGCATTGTTGTGATTAAACTTCTCTTAAGTGAAGTATGCTTGGTGTATTTAGATTAGGGTGACTTCTAACATTGACGAATGTGTGTGCCTTGTTGTACGTAATTAATATCTTCCCATGAGAAAGAGCTCGGGCGCTAGAATAGAAATGTATTCTAGAGCTAAGGCACAAAAGGGATCCTAGGGCCATCGAACCTTCTACTTTAGAGGCATAGCATCCGCAACCAGGACCGTGTTCTGCTTAGGTAGTGTTTGTTGCTTCAATTTACTTCTGATTAACATAATTTGGGTTTTTTCTCTTGTTTGATTGAAAAGTATTTAATAATCCCCAGTGCTGGCCGCATTCCAGCACGTACATCAATCCTACAAGTAACTAATGTTGCCTATCTTAATGTCACACATACCTCCTTCCATAGGGGTTGGAGGCTCCAATATAAATAAAGTATATAATACAACATAATAATAATATGGTTTCGCTTATCAGTGTCACTTTTCTTTCTTCTCCGGTTATGTGGTCCACTCTTCTCCAGTGTACCTGGGGTTGGGTTTTGCGGTTCTCATCGTTGTCCTTCTGGTGTCTATTGCTGGCTGGTTCGGGGGCGTTGGTGGTGTGCGGCTTTGATCTGGCTCCGGTCGGTGTGTCTGGGGTACCTCGGCTGGGCTAGGTTCGGCTGTTGGAATGGCTTCTGTGCGCCTTGGTTCTCGACTCGGTCCCTCTTCTTGAAGTTGAGGTTGGGGTGGGGCCCTGAAGTATCGCTTTCGTAAGAGTGTGCGGTTCCTTCGGAGGATGCCTCCATTGTCCTGTTGTATGAGGTATTCATGCTTTGGGAGTACTTCGGTGACAGTGCCTGATATGGTCCATCGCTTTGTTTGGTGGTGCTGCACCATCACAGGTGTTCCCACGGGAAAGGGCTGTAGGGGTTTCGCCGTTGCCTCGTAATGGGCTTCGAGTTTCTCACGCCTTTCTGCCGCTGTTTCGTCCAATTGCCGGAATGACCTCTCCCATTTGGGGTCGTATGCATTTGGGTGGCGAGGTAGCATTTCCCCACATGTTCGCCCGTAGATGAGTTCGGCTGGTGATCTTCCTCCGTATCGTGGAGTGTTCCTGAAAGCCATAATTCCAGCTGTTAATTCGTCCGGGTCTGGTCTTTTGGCGCCTTCCGGAGTTGCTCCTCTGATGATTTTCTTCATCGCCTTGACCGCGGCTTCGGCGCGCCCATTAGATCGTGGTAGGTGTGGTGATGACGTTTCGAGGGCGACGCCCCATTTCTTCAAGAATGCTTGCACCTCGTGGGACACGAATTGGCGCCCGTTGTCGGGTTTTAGCATCACCGGTCTTGCGTGGTTCATGAATGCGTTGCGGAGGGCTTCGATGATTCTCCTTGAAGATGTGTCAGTGCCGAGCGTTGTGATGTCGGGCCATCCGGAGAATTCATCAGTCAAAACCAAGTAATGGGTATCGGCTACTTCGAATAGGTCGGCGTGGAGTTTTTGGAAAGGGCGCTCTGCGTCTGGGCCGCGTTGCATGGGCTCGTGTGGTTGCGATGGGAGATGTTCTTGGCAGGGTCGACAGTGGCGGATCACGTCTGTGACATCGGTTGCAATTGTTGGCCACCATACTGTCATCCTTGCTCGTTCCAGAGTTTTGGAGATGCCCTGGTGTGCCGCATGTAGGTGGTGCAAAATTTGACGCCGCATGGGGCCTGGGACGAGTAGGCGTGGTCCGTGGAGGATGATGTCATCTTGCGCGTACAGAGATTCTCGCTCCTTGTAGTATGGTGCTAGCAACTCGTCCTCGCAAAGGAGCTGCTGTTTGCTGTCGGGCCAGCCGTGGTGTATGCGCTGCAGCAGTGCTTTGTAGGTGGGGTCCTGTTGGCCCACCCGTCGAATGGTTTGAATGTGCTCCTGTTGAGCGTCTAGTGATGGATTTGGTATGGCCGAGTCCAATTGGGATATGGCTGTGGCAATAATAAATTCTCTATCTGCGTCTTCCTCTTGCGTGAGAACTTGGTCTGCTGTTCTAGGCTCGTTTCTTGGTTTGCGTGAGAGGGCGTCTGCGATCTTGTGGCGTTTCCCAGCTTGCCATCGTGCGGTGAAGTTGTAGCGAAGCAAGGTGGTCTTCAGTTTGAGGAGCCGGTCGTTTTGGATTTGGTCCAAGCGCCTGTTGTTCAAAATGGAGACCAATGGGTTGGAGTCGGTGATGATCTCGAAGTGATCCAGGCCATCTAGGAAAAACGCGCATTTCTTTGCCGCCCATGCCACCGCGAGCGCCTCTAGTTCGGCCATGCCGCTCCAGTTGGATTCGTGCTTCGCAAGCGTTCTGCTTCCGCACTGGACCGTTCTCCACGTGCCCTCGTCGCATTTTTGGCGTAGGAGGAACCCAAGCCCATGTAGGCGAGACGCGTCTGTAAGGAGCTGGGTTTGTCGTCGTGGATCGAAGTACGTTAGGTGTGGTGGGTTCGACAGGACGATTCGTGCTTCCTCGAAGGCTTGTTGGTGGTAAGGTTGCCATGCCCAGTCGGCCTTGTATGAGAGGAGGCTCCGTAACGGTTCTAGGATCGTAGTGAGGTCGGTCGAGAACCCTCCTAGTTGCTGGGCAAGACCCATAAAGGATCGAAGATCTGTTCGGTTCTCTGGGACTGGGAACTGTCTCAGGTCCTCGGTTAATTCCGGGTCGATTTGGTATTGGCCCTGTTTGACGATGAAACCCCCAAATTTGACCCTTTTCATACCAAATTGTACTTTACTTGGGTTAATTGAAATGTCGTGGGCGTCGCAGGCTTGTAGTACTCGCTTTACATCCTGAATGTGTTCCTCCCATGTCGTTGAATAAATCAGTATGTCCTCTACGATTCGGGCAATGTGGGGGATGCCCTCTAGCGCTTTGGCCATCCTTTCGTTAAAGACATCACTGGACCCATGCCACCCCATGGGCATTCGGCAGTACCTCATGCGCCCTCTGGGAGTGATGAACGTTGTGAGTTTGCGACTTCCTTCCTCTAGGTCGATTTGATGGAACCCTTTGAGGCCGTCCAGGACTGTGAAGTACGCTGCCGTCTTTGGTAGGTGGCAGACTGTGTGAATGGGGGATTGGGATGGGTAGATCGGACGTATTGTCGCTTTGTTTAGTTCTCGTAGGTCCACCGTGATGCGTGCCTTTGATGGGTCTTTCTTACGAGTGGCCACCATTGGGTTAATCCATTCCGATGGGTCGTTGGTGTCGTCAGCGAATTCTATGATGCCCGCGGCCACCTGCTCGTCGATCTCCCGGTTGACCGCCTCCTGGAGGTTGAGTGGGATGGGGCGTGTCCCATATTGTTGTTTTGGGCTCACATCACGTCGTAGTTTTATGGCGACTGGGCCGCCCTTCATGGGTCTGCAGATTCCGGCCAGCGGTCTTGGGAATTCTTGGCGTAATGCGTCCCAAGCTGTCTTCCGTGAAGCGTCTGAAATCGTATGTCCTGGTGCTTTGGATGTGGTCGGGCTTGCGGCTGTTGCAGAACAACCATGCCCGACTAGTCATTGAGTGTTGTTGATTGTAGGTCGGTGGGGGCTAACGAAAATCTGTAGCTCCCGGCACACTTGGCGTGACAGCATCGGCTGTGCGAGGCCGTCGATGACGTATACGTCTGCGATTGTTTCCCTGTTGCTGGGTGCCCATGAAACCCTGGCCCTAAAGATGCCAACTGTGCGGAGGTTGTTTGGCTGCCCATCGGCTTGCCTCGGGGATTGTGGTGGTGGTTTGGTGTGAGTTAAGTCGCTCGTTGTCAGGCCCAGACGACTCAGGTCCTGGAGGGGAACGCATGTTGTATTGCTTCCTGTGTCCGCTAGGCATGAGACCCGTCTGCTGCTGATCCCCTTCCAGTGGGCAATTGTCACCGTCTCCGTGCCGAGCTTCTCCAGTGGGTCCAGTGGATTCTTGAGGGTGGCAGTGTTGATCTCGCTCACGATGGAACTCAGTGCGCCTTCGTCCTCACTGGTGTCTGTTATGGCATTGGTTTGGGCAGTGGGCCGAGGTCGGCCTCCTGCGTCTGGGAAGGTAGGGCAGCACCTGTCGTAGTGGCCCTTTTTGTTGCAATGGCGGCAGGTGGCTTTTGCTGCTGGGCATCCTTTGGTTTGGTGCCATGGTTTGTCTTTCCCGTGGCCACATTTGCCGCAAGTACCTCTTTTGTTCTTGTCAATCTGTTCCTTGGGTGGCACACGTGTGTTTTGCCTGAGTCTGCTGGCCATTGGTGTGTCGGTTGTGGGTCTAGCTATTATTGCTTCTGCATTTCTTCTTGACGCCATGATGTTTCGGGCTAGTTTCAAGGCATCGTCCAGTGTGGCTGTGTTAGGCAGTTGTAGCAACTTCTCCGTGATTTCCCTGTCGTTTATCCCTGCCACTACCTGGTCGAGAATGCGTTCTGACTCGGGGTCAGCCTCCTGTGTGAACTTGCACTTCCTCGCCATGTCCTTGAGTGCAATCATATATGCGTCGCAGGTCTCGTCCTCGGTGCGTATGCGGGCCTGAAACTCCTTTCGATAGACGCGTTTGTTGGTGCCGGCCTCCAAGTATTCCTCGAGGCCGCAGATGATTGTTGTCGCGTCTTGGCGTTCTGCTTGTGTCAAGGGAAGGTTGCGCACCACTTTGGCTGTACTCGGTGTAAACGTTGTCTTTAAGGCGTCTACCGTAATTGTTCTCTTTGCTGCACGCATTGCGGTCGTGACTTCGTCTGAGGGTGGTTTCGTGTAGTCGGCCTCTAAAAGGCGATTGATTCCCGAGTGGCCTTTGAAGGTTTCCCAATCCTCCTTCCATTGGGTCCAGTCGACGTTGTCGACGTCGAGTGTCGGGGGAGTGGCCCTACAAATAAAGTACCTGGGGTCTAGTTTCTCCATTGCTGGTGGCTCGCTTGGCGTCTCGATTTATCCGGAGCGCTTGTTTCCACAAATCCTGTCATCCGCTCGCACAAATGCCTTAAATTCGGGTTTCTTTTAGCGGTTGGATCCTACCGACTGCGCCATGTTTGATTGAAAAAGTATTTAATCCTCTCCAGTGCTGGCCGCATTCCAGCACGTACATCAATCCTACTAAGTAACTAATGTTGCCTATCTTAATGTCAACACGTTTTGATTCAGGTTCCCTGGTGCTTTTGATCCAACACCTCGGTCAATTTTACCGTTGAGAGGACGAAAGTAAACATTAGTCAGTGGCGTAGGGTTTATTTATTTTTGTGGGCAACAAAGTTTATGTTTTATTTCCATGTGCAAACGTAATAACTTTTTTAATATAATATAATATACTATTTACTAAATATTTATGACCAAAAGCTGTATGTGTTTAAAAGGTCCCTATTGATGTATGATAAGGTATGATGATTTGATACTTCGAAGTGGGAACTTAGAAGGCGAGTTAGAAGAAAATTTAAACACATTAAAATGCGAAAATTCCAGATCAGAAAATTCCTGTATGCACGTCTATGACTTCAAAACACTTACAGCTTTTCCCAATTTCAAAGGGCCCCCATAAATTAATACACCACAATCAATAAGTCCTACACTATAAAAACGCTTAAAAATTAAGGAATCACGTTTTAACAGCGTTGCCGTTGTGATGCACTAGTCACCATAAGTTTTTTTGTTACGCCGTTTAATTGTAAGTTAAAATTGTTTGGGTTATTGAACTCTTATAAGCATTTAAAAATCCATTTAGACTACTCTAGATGCATATGTTATTAATATTCCCTTAAAAACTATCTCGTGAAATGTGACAACTTTAGCCTCCTGCAATGTTAGTAAACAAACCATAATATGATGGCACCATAGAATTCTATGGATGGCACGCATAATAAGCATCAAGGCATCTCTATCTTTATTTCTTACTCTGAGGTACAAACTGTTTGGTTAGGACCACAGAAGATATTCTTTATTAATTGATGAGAACGACGCTGATCCTGGATACCAACTTTGCGTTGCGAATCACTTTAGAATTTAGTGCAGTTTCATTCATGGAGTCACGACGAAGGCTATAATTAAGGTCATCACGTCTCTTGATTAATCAAGCAATGCAAGTTCACAACACCTGTGGAAATTCTGGGGGGGGGGAGGCGCCCATCGCTAATATACGACTTTTGATCCCCTAGATGCAACCGTACGTCGTGACTTCTCTGCCAGCAGCCGCCATATAGACGCATAGTTGAACAGGATTCAGCCCTGCATTTCTTTCTAAGGCTTATGGCGCCTCTACACGGCACTTGTTACCTCGAGCATTTGCCATCGTTGCAGCTATTTAAAAAAAAATAATCGAACGGCCACACCGTTGATGGTGGTTGAGGTTATTTTTATTACGGTCCGCCTTTTCCCGTGTATATCATAATACACGCTATGTTTGGTTTCTACCTATTAATAGAACCAAAGAGCTCTTGGATAGAACGTATTGATTTTGGTCCAAGGTCTACACTACGCGAGGATTGATTCTGCGAGTCAAAGTCGCGCCTTTGGAGTGCACTGATTCAGGTTGAGAGGTTCCACCCTGTATATACAACTTACGACGATGCACACATTTTCGAGAGCTGCACTTTTTAGAAGGAGATAAAGTCGCTCTATCTCTACAGAAAGCTGTCTGCGCCATCTGGAGATCACCAAACGCGGGTTATACGTTTGGCATCTTGTTTGTAATGGCGGCCACAAAAGCATCGCTTATTTAATGCAGATGTTTGCATTTCTTCATAATTTATTTGCATTTTGTATGCAGCATTGTATATTTTCTGTGAGTTTCAATCTTTGATTTTGAAGTTGACTGGATTTAACCTTAATGTAGATTCATGTGTTTGATACCGTTAACCTTTTGTTTGAAATCGGGTTCCTTTTATGTGTAGTTAACTTTACTTAATGTTTTGATTGCCCCAACTACTTAGATACATTGCAAAGAATAAACAGTTTATCCTGTCAATTGTGTTTTATTAATATATGTAACAAAATTCATTAAAAAAAAACTAACACAAGTCTGAATTAACATTGCATGGAACATAAAATCGCTATCACTATAAAATGTAGTATAATATATACCTACTATAAACTTTACACTACAAATTTTGTACTTATAATAAAAAATGTGAGATAATTAGGTACAAATTTGATTAGATCAATAATGGTAAAATTACATTGTATAAAAATAAGATAAGATCCCTAAATTGAACTTGGTTTTTTCTACATTGATTATATGTCTCATTTCTTAGGGTTAGTTAAAACATGCTGAAAACTCAAAACTGTCTCAAATATAAAATATTAATACTTCAAACTAAAACTTGTTATTCTACTGCTAAACTAAGTGCACATTTAAGTATCCGAAATTAGATAAATTAAAATTATTCATATGCATGCAACACATATCAATATGTATTCATCTCGAATTATCACGTTATGACTCATAAAACTAATGAAGTAAGGGTAATCACATATTATCATCAGTTATAAAATAAATACTTATCTAGTTCAAGTAATGATATGATAAACAAAATATCACAAACCATTATAAATATCCTATTTTACGATTGATTAATTTCATCCTCATAAATTATTTCAAAGTCGCTATCACTATCTTTTCGTTTAGGAGTGCCACCTGATTTTAATACGGTCGTTATTAAACTGCTACCTATAGCAGTTAAATTGCTCAAAATCGTCAGCTGGGAAGTTCCCGGTTCTGGATCACTTTTGGGAGCTTCCGAGAAGCGCAGTCCTTTCGAGTATAGATTTTCATCCTCCGATGAACTGTCACGGTTGAAATGGGAAGACTCGAAACTCATACCTTTGTGGTCGGAATCGGAATCACTAGAAATTTCTCCAGGCGTGTACGAAATTGCGGCCGAAGGTTTGGCGCGCATGTTAAATTCCAGATCTTCTTCCTCTAAACCGTCCAGGCTGCCTTCGGCGTCCAAGTGCGATGGCATCGACATCAGGCCGGATATTAAAGAATTTGTAACCGAATCTGCAAGATGATAATTTTTGAATAAATTGATCCTCCCCACTACTCTGAATCAATTCAAGAATGGTATCAAAATTGCGATCTATTTTGGAGATTGTCAGTCGATCAGTAGGAATCCAAAATTTAACTGCGGAGTGGCCAAGTCTACCTGAACCTGGACCCCGGCCTCCGCCGATTAAGATTTGCAAATCTTAAATTATATTGAGTTTTATTTAATTTTAGTCGTAGTTGTACTTATGCTGTAAAAATTGTTCAAGAAGAGAAGTTAAGCAACATGTAGGTAAAGAATGTATTGCGTCTTTACAAAAATTAGTTAACAGATGCTTGATAAGGGGACTTTATCAAAGTAAAATTTAATTTAACGAGATAAACGATGGTACATGTGTGAGGTTTAGAGACAAGGAAATGAAGTGTAAGGTGACGAGGTGGTGAAGACTTAAAAAATTGGCGCGCCGATCTTACGGGACGGTTGTAACAGTCCATTGCGTGTAAATTTTCAAATACGATTTTTCCGGCGGTCGGCCGTTTTAAAGTTTTTGTCGATTGTAAGTTAGAATTGAAGAAGTGATACAAAAATTAGTTTTCTGATTTTTGTACAGAGTTGGTGTGCTCGCGTTCAGTCATAAGCATCTGTAGTTAAAATTTCAAAAAAATATCTCTTTAAATAAGAAAATTGACATTGCGCATTTTATGATCAGTACTTTCCGAAAGGGCATATAACGGCCTCGTTATGTGTACAAAGGAAAATAAGTGAAGGCAATGTTATGAGTTGGAAATTATTTATTATTTGTGTCAAAAAATTAGATTACGCATGCGTAGACCTGGACAGATTTTCTTGAACCATTAACAGAAAGTGCTTAAAAGATGTTTCTTATAAAAACATAAAACGCTCATCAAAAATAAATTTTACCTGCGCAGACTAGTCAATGAAAAAAAATATAGCGCATGCGCTGGTTACAATTTTTTTCAATTTTATCTGAAGATGCGTTTTATAGAAACAAATACAACATATTTTTGCGTAATGTATTGCGCACGCGCAGATCGAACTTTCTTTGAAATTTCGGCGTGAGATACTTCTTGTAAAAACAATTTTAAATAAAGTGTCAACAAATAGATTGCGCATGCGTAGTTCCAACTTTGTTATTTGTGGCCGATATTTTAACAGAAGGCGCAATTGTAAAAACACCTGAACGCACATGTAAACCATCAACATATAGAAAGGAGTGCGCGTGCCAATGCTAAGAACCTCTTAGTTTTCCCTTCTCTCTCAACTGCAGCATCCGCGCTTAGCATTGGCGGGTGCAGTCGATGATGCAAACAAATGGATACACAGTCTAAAAAACTTACGAAATCGTGACATAACATTCTGTATCCTGTCGGTAACAAAGCCTTTGTTGACCTATGTTTATATGAAGTCATAACGTAAGTCAAAAAATTAAGTCTATTCTGTATGTACTGTGTATTCTGTATTTGGGAACACCCTGTATACATGTATAATGCCCTATACCTAAATTTTGACATACTTAAGGCTTAGGCATACAGAAAGAGGTCCATCGCCACGGGCAGCGATCTCAGACCAAGGCGATCATGCGGTCTAGTTGTATTACACTGTGGTACATCATCTCTGTCACACTGGATCGCTGCCAGAAGTGACAGACCGCTTTCTAGATCCCGAAGTCTTCATACTTAATTTACTTATGTCAAAAATAACATTTGCAGGGTCAAGTATCTAACCCCTCTTCTATTTACCTTTACTATTTGAAGTTAAATCTTATGCATAATGAGCCAATTTAGAGCTCTAACTTAGAAGCAATCATCAAATCAGTCTGCAACTTTTTAAGAGTGAAGCTCAGAAAAATTATAATTGCTTGTCAATAAAAGCTCTCAAATGTTATTTGAGGGGCGGGGTTTCAGTCAAAGCTCCTCTACCAATACAAAAAAACAGTAAACTCAATTGCTGGGGCCTGAAATCAAAAAGGATTCTATTCTTGAATTGGTTGAAAGTAATGAGTTCGGTAATGAGGTTGAGGCTCAACCAAATGAAGTTATACAAACCTGCGGTTTTATCGGTTAGCAAACTTTCCAGCTCCGGGTCTTTCTCATTGAAGTCCTTATTTGCTATGAAAGGTAGTAGTTCTGATTCGGCCAGTAACCCTACAATAAAAAATTGTTATTCTGCAAGTCGGGTATAAAACTAACCTTCGTTTGAGCCGATATTTTGCACTATATCTTTAACATTTAGCAAGTACTCAGATGGTAGACGAGAGATTATTAGAGGACCGGTAAATATGGCCAAGAGTATCAGGTAAGATAGCGCGAATCCTGATACGTTACGTGCCACAACAGTCAGGCTTAGGAAAATTCCACACATGATGACGCAAAACTGAAATTTAATTTTCGAGTAAATTTGCATTTTAATTTGTGGAAGTAATACCATCGAGGGACTATCTTTTCTCAAACCTTGCAAATGCAAGGATATGTTCGACAGGATACGTCCCACCTGCCGCATGGCATCGGAAGACGAATTACGTTCCGCTTTCAATTCTTTTCTTTCGAAGTATAAATCGCATAAAAACAAAAGAAGGGAAACTAAAAAGATTACTCCATAAAATCGCAATTCCAATTGCACAATCAACCTGCAATGACATTCAAGATAAAAATAGTAACATTTACAAAACAATTACAAACCACAACAACACATGTAAGACACCCAGGGTCATGAAACTGATTTTCGGATCATCCCAAACTAAGACCTTATAAACTGCATTCAAATATGCATCTGTTCGACTAGTCTGTGCTTTACCTGGAGGTAAAAGGCGCTGAAATACACCACGAAATATTCGTGACACAAATTCCATGCTTTTTTTCAAATTGTTTTGCACGCACACTTTATTTACAAAAGATTTTAGAGATATGTTAAAACAGTTTGAATGGTATTACCACATAATAATCGCCTCTGCTAGTGCTAAGCAATGATTTACGATAAAATCTGTGCAAAATCACTATAAATTACGCCGATTTTTTTCAACAATTGTGACGTTGTTATGATGAATGAGGAGTCATTTTTGTGATGTTTAAATTTGGATCGTCTACTCTCGGGTCACGCGATCGAGTTTGTTGTGCTAAAAATTATTTATAATTTATTAAGTTTCGTTTTGTCAACACTGTTGTTATCTGCATTACATTGATAATTTGTAAGGAAAATGTTGTGTTAATTTGATATAATTTGACATTGACACACATAATTAATGTACGTTCATTGAAAGACGTCATTGATACGTATCGTACGAGTGAGATTCAGAAAATTTTTCATTTAGATTTTAGGTATTTGTATCTGCTATAGAAATTACAAAGATCTACCGTTATCGTTACGTTTCTGTACGGCACAAAGTGTAAGAAATCGTGAACTGTAGTTAGCCGAAATTGAAATGAAAGAAAATTGGTTGTTTTAAATTAGACCCATCTCATGGCCATGAACCGGGTGTGCCGTAGGCCATAGGCAACAATAACAAAAGAATCGAATTGAAATGGATTCCTTTCATTTTTAAAAGCCACGCTTGCTTTGTTAAATTTTTGTTTTTGACTACGTTGCCACATTTCACATTTAAAGAGGTATCGGTGCCCATAGGTTTAACCATTGATTATAGTGTATATAATCAATGGTTTAACATCGATTTCAAATAAAATTAATTCCCTGACCTATTTTTTACACCAATATGCCGTGAGTACACTACGTTTTCAATAAATAAAGAAAAATGCTCATCGCGACGTAGGTAATATCAAAAATAAATATTTTTATGATGAAATTCAGTCACACCATGTGCGTTGGTGACAATCGGCTGCTTATCCACCTATCGTTATACCATTGTTTAAACAAAGGTACCTACCTACTACCATTGAATTTATAAATTCAATGCTACTACCTACGTTGGAGTTGGCGAGGATAATTAAATCTACAGACTTATTTATTAGTTTTGCGACTTTGAATGTTTCGCAATTTAGAACTAATCAACTAAATGCTTCCACCAACGCAAGCGCAACAGTTTTTCATTGCGCGTGTGAAGTTAGCATCTCAGTTTTAAAATGTGGCAATTGCAAATAGACTTTGTGAGCTCCCCTCCCTCCAAAGTTATAGAATTCGTGATTAATCGAAAGAATTCCAATAATTAAGTCATAAAGAACAATTTCGTAAATATGGGGGCCAAATTCACGCAGCCACCCTTTGCATCAAAGGTGAACTTTTTTAAGAGTTCTGAAAAGATCTCAATAGTTCGTGGTGACATACGCCTACGGTTAAGCATCACACCTTACAACTGCAAGAATATATATAGTAGCATATCAGTATTATGCAATGAATAAAGAATACCAGGAAGGAGAATATCAACCTTAGACTGAAAGAAAGATATCAACAATATACGTGCGACCGCGATGGCTTTTGCAAATGGCGGACAGTATAGTTTCCTGTTCGAGTGGCGTACCTACCTTACAGTTGTAGAAGGATACAATTATAAAGAATTTTACACGAAAACAATCTAAACCCCCATGTGTACATACTCCGCCTATGACTTTTGTTTAACTCACCTCATCCGATAAAAAATTAGTAAATTTACATGTACTATATAAAAATAATATTGGTATCAATATTTAGACGTGAAATGTATTTCCCAAACTTTTATTTTTTGCCGTTTTGGAGCAACCACAAGCACAACAACTATTATTTTATGTCACTGCAAAAACCACAACAAAAATGAGTCATAAGTGGCTTTTGCAAATGGCCGACTTCCGTCGCACTCTCTCTTGTATACAACCTGAGTAATGCTCCTTCCTGGTATTCTTTATTCATTGGTATTATGCTTAGACTATTAAATACCCGCTTTAGTGTAAATCGGTTTATGGCCGTTTGCACCGACAAATTTAAGCGGAGCTTAGCTTAAGCGTAGCTTAAAATCCATGACAACGATTATTGAGACAATGGTTTCCATGGATTTTAAGCTACACTTAAGCTAAGCGCCGCTTAAATTTGTCGGTGCAAACGGCCATTATTGCTCTTTTAACTAATTATGCAAAATTCACGTTAGTTTGACAACCTAACAACTGTTTACTAATGTATCTATTAGCGTTTTCGATTGGCAAAACTCGTGCTGCACGAGAAACTGAAGAAATCCATGTGAAAATTGCTCTCAATGGAACATAAATATTCGTAAATATTTGTTGTCATTTGTCCATAACCTAGCATTTTAGATTTAGGTAATCGACAAATCTCTATTCTAAAAAATGACAAACGATTTCAGTATTATTTATGATAAACGATGAGGAATATAAATTTGAAATTCCTGTAAAGGACCAATTTTTGGCGTTCAGTTTAATGAGTAAGTGCAACTTTTTGTAAAATAGAAGTTATGGCTAGTTCATCATCTTCGCTATCGCTAAATGACGACAAAAAACTCTCCCAACGCAAGTAAACAAATTCAAGTTGTCGCACGTTTGTTTTGAAAATTTGTTAACTAGCAGCTCCACGAGCTCTCGGAGCTCGTGCGTCGAAATTTGCACTGAGTGCGTAATTGTTGCATCACATTTGCCAATGGAACACAGAAAATTGCCCTAAAATGACCAATAGAACGTAAAAATTGCACTCATGCAGCACGAGTTTTGCCAATCGAAAACGCTATAAGATTCAGCTACACAATACACAAAACTCCTCCCCTCCTAGTAGACACCACGAAATCTCGAAAACGGCTGGGCATTCCGGTGTGCCTTTGTGGTCTTTGCATAGCGGTTGTTACTGTCATATTTTCTTTTGTATCACCTAATGCGGTCTCTACTGGTTCCTCCTCCTGAAGTCTGTTGTCATCAGTACGTATATAGATTGTCCGTTCTGACTTCATCGGTCTCTGATGGTCCATTCATAACGTTTCTACGTAGATGGTCTCAAAGAGCATATTGTAGTATCTGTATCTTTGGGTATTATGATAGTAGCATACTATGGGACGAAATACGAAACGCTTATATGTATACCCAGTAATTGTGAGTCTTCGACTTTAACCGTTTTGCGTGGATACCGGGAATGATTTTTAGGGTATGAAGTTGGGCAGAAGGTCGGCGTGGGTTACATCCTTCGATCATACACGGAGTATGTATGATCGAAGGTTACATCATTTAAAGATCAGCAGTGTAGTATGATCTTTGGCTTTGCAGTTTGCACCATTGTAATGTTTTTCGATCCCTCGACGAACGTGCAAGCGAGCCGATTTCTCAGGGTTTATTTTCTTTGTTTTTGCTGTGAACAGCGTTAATTACAGGTAGAAATCGTTTTAACCTTCTGCGTACTGACCATCAATCTTTAAATTTCGTGTAACAATTTCTTTTCATTCACAGTTTGCATTAAATGCAAATATTGAAGGATGCGGTGCTCCGTTAACTAGACCTGAATCTGCAGCTTTTGTTGTGTCTCAGCAATACGAGAATGGGGGTTCACTAATAACGTTTTCTGCTGTGTAATATGTGGATTTGTTTGTGTGATAATCGACTTTACCTTGATTATTGCCTCTCTCACTCGCCCTTTGTGTGTGTTTGATATGTTTTTGTACTAAATTGATTTAGCTTGTTTTCCAATTTGTTAAAGGTCACTCGTTTTTATTATTTTTTTTACGCACTTGAATCGATTACCGATTTTCATTGTACAGGGTGTAAATCGAAAAGTGGAGCATAGGCGTTTAACATGGGAAATT